CGTTCTTCCAGTTTCTATGGCTTCTTAAGTTTCCTCTCAGCATTATTAATATACTTTCCCTGTGGTCTACCTTTTTCTTTGCATTTTATCAGCATTGTGTGCATGCGTATTTGTATATATGTGTGGCACTTTTGAAGTTTAACCGAAAAATTTCAAAGCAGTGAACAGGAGGTAGTCACACAAAACTTGTTAAATACAATCTGCTGGAAAACAGAGTAGATGTGAGAAGAAGGCTGGGAGAGTTAAACACACACATGACATTTATTTTTGTAGAAATAAAATATTCCCGAGAAATCATTCATTCTTGCCATTTCATTTTGGGGTTTATCATCTTTTAAGTTTTTCCTTAGAAGCTTCTAAAATGATCTCAGAATGTAAGAAAAATTTAACGACACTTTACAAGCCAATTCATAGGTTTTAAAATTATTTCATCCTTATATAAAAAAGGCTTGCATCCGAGTAGAGAAGAAGGTTGAATGAGCCGTGGTACCTATACATGGTGGAGTACAATGCAGCTTTGAAAAAGAGTGTGTCTAACAGTTGGGAACAGACAAAGAGTGGTTTCCAAGAGACAACAATAATGCAAAATGCCACGTGCAAAGAGCATGTATAATATGCCGCCTTTTGTGTGAGAAAGAAGGGGAAATAAGAAAAACCTACATGTAACTGCTTATCTTTACCAAAAGAAGTCTGGGAAGCATAAGACAGAAAACAGTAAAGTTAGTGACCTCCAAGAGGTGGTGTGAGGGAGTGGGGTGGATAGAATATGGGAGGAAGACATACATTTTTGAGTACCTTTTAGTAATTTTAACTTTTGGAAGCATGTTATTATTCTACATATTTAAAAAAATCATTTAGAACTGAAAGTACATTTAACAAATTTGAACCTAATTGTATTTCAAATGGATATTGTAACTTTACTGAAGAGAGAACAAAAATGAACCTAAGTAGTTCATGAACACAGTTTGTAACTACATACTCCATTCCTGGATGACAGAGGAGGGAGTGAAAATTGCAAAGAAATCTTGAACTTTTAAAATAGGTTTTCTTATTATGATAGAAAGGGGTGAGACAGTTCTGAAACTGTAAGAGACCCTGTAGGATTTGGTAAATGAGTAAATGTGTCGACTTTGTTCAAGCAGAAACACAAAGTGGATGCAGGACAGCAGAACTAACCTTTCGCGGAAGGATTAGACTTAGACCTATCTGTTTGAACTTATGATTTATAAGATATATATGTGTGTTTGTATGGGTATACATGTGTACATGTCTATGTATGAATGTATGTATATGTGCATTTTGTATGTAACTAGTGAAGAAATTGGACAACACTCTGATTGAATGATCAAAACTACCATCACCAGTGAGGGATAGAGAGACATCACGTGCGTCTGGATGTGATACTTGAGAAGGGCACAACACATCCATGTAATATTCCAGCAAAAAATGTACCACCTGAATCAAATCTTGAGGAAGCCATAGACAGCCCCATTGAGGAATGTTCTAGTTAAAAAATTAGAGGAGGGTCCTGTAATCCCAACAGTTCGGGAGGCCGAGGCAGATGGATAGTTGAGGTCAGGAGTTCTAGACCAGCCTGGCCAACATGGTGAAACCAGGTCTCTACTAAAAAAATGCACACACACACAAAATTAGCTGGGTATGGTGGCATATACCTGTAATCCCAGCTACTCGGGAGGCTGAGGCAGGAGAATTGCTTGAACTTGGGAGCTGGAGGTTGCAGTGAGCCTTGTGCTCCAGCCTGGGAGATGGAGTGAGACTCTGTCTCAAGGAAAAAAAAAAAAATCAGAAGAGGGGTTAGACTGTATTCCAAAAAACATGTCAGTGCTATACAAGACAATGACATGGTATGCGAAATGTTTCTGATTAAGGAAGACTGAAGAGTCTTGTCAACTCATTGTAACATCTGACCCTAAATTGGCTCCTGTGCAGGGAGTGTATGGGGGGAAAGTTGGAAAGCATATTGTTGGATAAATGGACAAAATTGGAATATTAATGGAAGATTAGATAAAAGTATTGTTAAATGTTAAATTTATAAAACTTTATAATCTAGTTGCAGTTTTGTAAGAGAATGTTTTATTTTGAGGGAAAATACACTACTCTTAGGGAAAAAGTATTTTGGAGTAAACGGTCTTCAAAGTGTTCAGAAAAAAATTTATCTATATCCATATGTTTCTCTATCTATTTATATGCTCACATAGACATATGAGAGAGATGGAGTAAGTACAAATGGTAAAGCAAAGCAGGTGAAATGTTAACAATGAGTGAATCTAGGCAAAGACTATCTATGCATGTGCTCTCTATACCGTCCTGTTGCAACTTTTAAATTTCCCAGTGGAATAATTTTTTTTTTTTGAGATGGAGTCTCACTCTGTCACCTGTAGTGCCTGGCGTGATTTTGGCTCACTGCAACCTCTGCCCCCCAGTTTCAAGTGATTCTCCTGCCTCAGCCTTCTGAGTAGCTGGGATTATAGGCACGCATCATCACACTTGGCTAACTGTTGTAGTTTTAGTATAGATGGGGTTTTGTCATGTTGGCCAGGCTGGTCTTGAACCTCCGACCTCAGGTGATCCTCCCTCCTTGGCCTCCCAAAATGCTGGGATTACAGGTGTGAGACACTGTGCCCAGCCCGTGGAATAATTTTTTAAAAGAATAAATTTTAACCCCAAAATAGACATTTAGATGTTAAGCAATATTAAATAATAATGCAATCAGTGATTAAATGCAGCTCTAGATGTAATAGAACTAGATTCTAGTCATCATTTTCCATTAGTATATGTTTATTTGCAATTAAGAATAAACTGAGTAATAATGCTGAATCTGTTCAAAACTGTGTGCTTAAAGAAAACAATGATGAATGGGAGTAAATTAGAACGTCTGCTGTGAAAATATTACATTAAAAATAGAAATAAACATTCAAAGCTATCCAGAAATAATTATAGCAAAGCATTTTGGCAGTTTTATGTGAAACTTAAAAAACACTTTTACAGACAAGAATGATTAGATTAAATGGGAGAGAGAACAAGTTTCTGAATTTAAAAGACTTAATATGAAAATGATTGCTCTCCAAATAGAAAGACTCATTATAAACAAATAAAACTATATGATATAGGCAATTAAGTCAACGAAACACAAGAGAGGGGTCAGAAATAAGACCTACAAGTATGTAGAAACCAGATATGACAGAGCCGACTTTGCTGATCAATTCAAGTATGGACTATTCAGAAAACTTTTCTTGAATGTTTTCCATGTGATAAAAGTAGGCCTCTACCTCACAGTATAGAAAACTCAATTTCAGTTGTAATACAAATTTAAATATGAAGAAAGAAACTTCAACAGATCTTAAAAAATACTAGGACCAGGCAAAGTGACTCATGCCTATAATCCTAGCACTTTGGGAGGCTGAGGAGGGTGGATCATTTGAGGTCAGGAGTTCAAGACCAGCCTGGCCAACATTGGTGAAAACCCATCTCTACTAAAAATACAAAAATAAGCCAGGCAGTAGTGGCATGCGCTTATAATCCCAGCTACTCAGAAGGCTGAGGCAGGAGAATGCTTGAACCTGGGAGGTGAAGGTTGCAGTGAGCTAAGATTATGCTGCTACACTCCAATCTGGGTGACAGAGTGAGACCCTGTCTCAAAAAAAAAAAAAGGAAAATACCTATGTAGCTTCAGAGTTAAGGATTTCATAGGCTGGGTATGCATAATGTATAGAAAATGATTGATAAATTTTACTATCTATCTATCTCTGTATTTTTGTTTTTTTGAGACAGAGTTTCACTCTTGATGGCCAGGCTGGAGTGCAATGGCATGACTCAGCTCACCAGAACTGCCTCCTTGGTTCAAGCAATTCTCCTGCCTCAGCCTCTTGAGCAGTGGGGTTACAGGCATGTGCCATTATGCCCGGCTAGTTTTGTATTTTTAGTAGAGATGTGGTTTCTCCATGTTGGTCAGGCTGGTCTCAAACTCCCGACCTCAGGTAATCTGCCTGCCTCCCAAAGTGCTGAGATTTACATATGTGAGCCACCGTGCCTAGCCTATATTTTACTATATTAAAATTTTAAGTTTATCTACAACAAAGTCACTGTAAACACAGTGAAGATCCAAGTCACAGTCTGTGAGTAGGTAATTAATATAATAAGCAAAATGAAGTTATCCAGGGTACAGGAAGGAAAAATGGGCAAAAGGAACAAATGGGAAGTTCATAAGACACAGAGCTTCACAGAGGTACTATTTCAAAGCATATTAACATAATGAAACCATCCTTGAGCACTAATTATATATAAGAACAGTCTTCCACCTTTAGCCAGATCACTGAGTTTCTAAACTATACAGTAAATTCTTTTTAAAAATTCTTATTTGGCCAGGCGCGGTGGCTCAAGCCTGTAATCCCAGCACTTTGGGAGGCCAAGGCGGGTGGATCACGAGGTCAAGAGATCGAGACCATCCTGGTCAAAATGGTGAAACCATGTCTCTACTAAAAATACAAAAAATTAGCTGGGCATGGTGGCATGTGCCTGTAATCCCAGCTACTCAGGAGGCTGAGGCAGGAGAATTGCCTGAACCCAGGAGGCGGAGGTTGCGGTGAGCGGAGATCGCGCCATTGCACTCCAGCCTGGGTAACAAGAGTGAAACTCCGTCTCAAAAAAAAAAAATTCTTTATGTTTTTGACAAATTATAACCATATATAATCATGGGATAGACCGTGATGTTATGCTCTATGCACAGTGTGAAATGATTGAATCAAGCATACTCACACATCCATTACCTTAACTTTTATTCTTCCTTTCTAACTGCAACTTTGTACCCTTCGACCAGCATCTCACCATTCCCCTAACTTCCAGCCTCAGGTAGACACCATTCTACTCTCGTTTCTATGAGTTCAGTTGTTTTAGACTTCACCTAGAGGTGACACCAAATGTTTTAATATAAAACTGTGAAGAAATCTCAGTGGCTAATGTCATGTTGTGGAATTCTGTAGGATCAGTCCTTTCCAGAGCATGAAAATGGTTTTCAGATTGGTATGAGATTAGAAGGCATCGACCCCCGACGTCCATCGGTATTCTGTGTGCTTTCTGTAGCGGAGGTAAGAGGTGGTGTTATTGTCTTGAGCTGATTGCATAGTGACAGAAAGATACTTTTCTAGAAAATAACAAATTTGTTTGATATTTATTATGGACAAGATCCAGTGCATTATGGATTTATTTTAGTTAGCGATGGGTGAAACTGTTTCTTAATAAATATTTTCCTTTCCCCTAAGATGAATTTTCTAGTAAGTCCTTTATCGACTAGCATTTACTCTTGAGTTAATGGGTAAATAATTTTCACTCGAGGTTGATAATAATCTGTTAATCCCAGTGTCATTTTTACCTATTAATGAGATGTACTTACTCACATTTGAGCTGAAATAATGAGAAATGCATATGAATAATATTAATGCATATGAATTATATATTTATATAAATACATGCACTTTACAAAAATTATTTAGAGTGGCAAGCTCCTGATGAATGGCTTATAAAATGTAATATTTGCTAAACATTATTAAATCAATAAAAGATCTTTATATTTCTAATAGCATTGAACGTAGCAGTCACATTTATTTACTTTACTGATTGATTATAGCTATTAAACTTGTACCACACGTCTGGAGGATGTATTTCTTAGACTGTTTTATTATTCTCTTTATTGAGTATGCTGGATACATTTGTTAGAGTTGAAACAAGGCCATGCCTATGTTAGTTTTGCTTTGTGCTTTAGCTTACACTGTCTTGGAATATGAATCCAGGCCAGAGGGCAGAAAATAGGGTTGCTGAAGGGAATATTTGACAGGTATTGAATTCATAAATAAACCAGTTAACTAATGAATACATAAACTGACCCTCAGATTCCTAGATTGGATAAAAGGGTTACTATTTTTGCAGAATGCACTAGATACCTATAAGTCATGGTCTAATTTCATTACCAATTTGTCTTAATTAGATGTCATCCATAAATTTGTCCTCTAGTGGAAACATTTAATAGCAGGACTGGCTCTTATATGTTGATAGTACTGACAAAATACATGAATATTTTGTGAATTTTGTGTCTATTCCAAATATATGACACTTAACAAATGATTGTAAACCTTCTCTCTTGCAGGTGTGTGGTTACCGTCTTAGACTTCATTTTGATGGTTATTTAAGTTGCTATGATTTTTGGACCAATGCTGGTTCCCCTGACATTCATCCAGTAGGGTGGTGTGAAAAGACCAAACATGAATTGCACATCCCTAAGGGTAAGCCAGGATACATTTACCAAGTGGAAAGAGAATTAATTGGTATTTCACTTGCGTTTTAACAACATTTTATGAAATTCTAACAACAGATCCTGGTGTGAATTGATTTCCAAAATGAGATTTTGATCTACAAAGAATAGTAAGACTATGGTGGTACCATTTTTAGAAGTAAATATCTTTAAAGAAAAGCATAAATGACTGTTTGGGTCAAATATTCTGATAATGTACGGAGGGCAGAAATAAAATATGAAAGCATTTTATTTTATATAAAGTTTATTAAACCTTATAAGGAATGCCAACTAATATTTAAATCATGGGTGGAATGAGATATCTAATCAAGGATAACACAAGGCAAGGAAACTGCTTCATTGTAAATAATTTGCTTCAACCTTAGGAATCACGGAAAACATGGAACTATGAAAAAAAATTCTCTATGTTCTTTTGATGGGAATAAAAAATATCATTGTTTTGTTATATACTAGAGGAATCTGGGCAAGATAGATGTAACAGAAACCCTTTCTATTTGCTGTGTACAAGTGAGGTGGGGATGTGGTTGAGGACAACGCTGATGGGCTCATTTCTTTGCACAGCAAATTTCTGTATACTGTCTCTGGCTTGTATGTTAGACTGTTCGATGACTGTGGCAACTTCTGGAGTCAGTATATAGTCCTTTATTCTTAGTTATCCACTCAGGGTGTCCCTTGGCATCCTCCCCTGAGGCTGATGGCAGAGTCCCTTGAGTTCGCTAGTTTCTAGGGAGCTGGTGACAGGCGACAGGCTCATTCATTCAGTAGGTAATTGTGGAGCCCTTACTGCGTGAGGCACTGGGAGCCAACAGCAAGTAAATCAATAGCTCTGTCTCCATGGGACTTCATTTCAGAGGAGAAGGGTCCTGGTGGTGGCTGCAGGGACACTCTTTTAGACAGAACGGTGGAGAAAGGCCTCTCTGTGGACATAATGTGCCAAAGAGACATGGGTGAAATGCGAGAAGAAGCAGTGTGGCGTCTGGGTAAGCCAGCTGAGGGAAGAATGGAGCAGGCATCCGGGACAGGAGTGTGCTTGGCGAGGATGAGACATCTCAGGGAGACAGCTCGGGCGGAAGGTCGCGGATGAAGAGAGTGGTGTTCCCAGGCCTGGAAGCCTGTGCAGGGAGTTTAACTCTTGTTCCAAGCCTGGTGCTCAGAGCCAGTTTTTGAGCCCGTACTGTTTGGGCCAGCACTGTGTGAGAGCCATGCTAGGGCATGCGAATGGGAGGATGTGGCAGTTTTTAATGGGAGACTTGTAAAGATGTGGTGCAGAAAGCTGGAGCTGTTGAATGGGCTTTGGATTGAGAAGGGGCTTCTGTGCCTGGCATCCTGGATAGCTGCACCATCGGGACCTCTGATGGTCTCTGTGACGTGGCTTCCTCAGGAGTGGGGACAGGTATGGTAACTCTGGTCTCATCACTTTGCCCATTCAGGAAAGCCTTAATGAGAGATGAGACTCCCGTCAGGCCACCACAATACTAACTCCCTATCAGAGAATGTGAAATTGTGTCGGGAATGATGCACATGATAGGGAAGCACTATCAACAGTTTTGAACATAATACATTTTAAAACCATGAAACAAGTTGGATATTTTAATTTAAATCTTTTGTGGGTACTAAGGACATTGAATGGCAGGAGACTAATAATAATAATATTAGGTTGGTCAGAAAGTAATTGTGGTTTTTGCCATTACTTTTAAAGTAATTGTGGGTTTTTTCCATTAAAGGTAATGGCAAAAACCACAATTACTTTTGGACCAAACTAATATATTTAATATGCATGAGGTTACATCTTGCGTGTATTTTGAATAATCTGTGCTTTTTTTAGGTTATAGAAAAGATAAATTTGTTTGGATGGATTACTTGAAGGCCTGTAAATTGCAAAATGCTCCAAAGAAATTGTTCAGAAACAGGAGTCCTGTAAGTATTTTCTTTCTCAGTACAAATCAAATTTACCCCTAAGCTTAAATTTCTTAAAATTCACAGTATATTCTGTTTTATTTTAATCCTTTAAGAAATTATGGAAACTCTTAACTTTCTATGACTTTTCTCACCTAATTCGCCAGTTTCTTATGGGCATATTTTGGTTTTCTTCCTTTAAAAGTATAATTAAATACTTTAATTAGATGGGAAAAGGTAAAAACTTTATGTTTAAAGCCTAGTAAAATTAAAGTGTCTTTTAAAAATGTTTTCTTTTGCAGTGAGTTAATCCTTTAATGTCAGTTTTGATGTTTTGAAACCAGCAGATACTCTAAGTAAGCTTTGAATGTACCCAGCCTAGATATATTTAAGTGCAATGAAAATGAGAGTAGCATTTGTACTAACCGAAGGGGTGTTCTGAGGATCTGGGTAGAGCACACGTCTTATGCCGTCTGTGTCCCCAGAAATCTAGTGAACCTTCAGTAGAGAAGGAGACTAAATCGCAACCCCAGAAGTTGGCTCGCCAGCAGCAGGCGGTGTCACTGTGCAGGCCACTCACTGAATTTCTCCAGGCTTCGCTTCTGTGATCTTGAAAGCAGTGTTACACAATCGTTACATGTGTTTCATAGATTCGTATCAAGAAAAGGAGATATTAAAACAGGAAATTGCTGTAAAAATAGAATGTGCTGAAGGAAAATGAAAATCAGGGTTTGATAAAAGAGAAGTAGAGAAGAAAACACTCTTGTAGTCCCCAGATATTGTGGGTACTCCCTAAATCCCAGGACTGGCTAGTGTATAGGTATATGAAGGGTGGGTTTGTAATTGTTATGTTATTGTAAATCATAGTTCATAGTATATTTATACTAAGAAAAGTACAGATAGTAAAAAAAAGCATTCACATTTTTAAATTATAAATTTAAATTATATAAACATATATATGAATTATATATAAATTCACATTTTAAGTTACAATTTTGTTTAAGCATGTGTTTCTTAAATATTGAAAAGCCACTTATTTTCAGATTGAGTAATCAAATTAAAATGATACTTTAGTGCTAATTAGATCACATCCTCACCACTTTTTCAAATAGTGGCATTTGGAAACTTCAAAAGCCTATGGGGAACAGACAAGATTATTTGATACTATTGTGTTCAGTAAACATCACATTTTAAAATTAATACAAATTATTCTAAGAATCAAAGAGGGAAATATGAAGATGATAAGGGAAAGAAGACGACCTTGTACAACAGAAGACAAAAGCACAGAGGAAAACTAGTTTCTGGGGTCTTTGTTATGAACATAAACTATGTGACAGTCGGCAGATAGTTTTACTGGCATTTGCTGGCTTTGTCCAGAGGGCAAGTGCTGACACCTGTAGACTTTGCTAATGCTAACCATAGAAGTTTTGACAGTGGCTTAGTCCTGTTTGGTGTCCTGTTTCTTTTTGTGCTTCTTCCCCTGCTGCTGCTGCGTTAGAATGGGCCAATGCCTAAAGAATTTCAGGTTGGAATGAAGCTGGAGGCCGTTGACAGGAAGAACCCTTCCTTGGTGTGCGTGGCAACCATAGCAGATATTGTTGAAGATCGCTTACTAGTGCATTTTGACAATTGGGATGATAGTTATGATTACTGGTGAGATACAAATGTTTGTTTTATTTTTGTGTATTCACATGTCTGGTGTTAAGAATTTGTTTTCATTCTAGCACTTTCACTGTTCTTGCTGTTCTAAAGTGATAAACATCAGGAATTTGGTGGTTGACTGTTCACTATCTTCTCTTCCATGTGAATTATTACTCAATTAAAGAGCGCTAGAATCTTCTCCATATGTGAGAAGGACCCAGTGAGGCCTCATCTGAAATAATATGACCAGTTCAGGACACTTTGCTGTATTTTTTCTAGTTTGTGAGGAAAGCATTTCTGTGAAGAGGAAGCTAAAAACTTGCAGTATTTTTTTTTTTTTTGGTCTAAAAAATGTTAAATGTACCTTGTCACATTTTTAAAAGGAAAGATTCTGGGAAAATGAGAGTTAATTATTTGAAAGCCTTTGGGGAGCAGAGAAAATGTATGCTGCCATGCCATTAGAATAACATGGCATGGGTTGAAAGGACTTTTTTGGGGGGTGGAATAAAAACCTGTAATATGCAAGAGGTCATGGCAAAAATAATTTTTATAGCATTTCTCCACATATGTCCCAAGTAATTGCCAAGTTCTTGCCTGAGACAGTGGTTCTTTATGTGCCTGATGAGCCCTGTCTTCTCCTTTGGACTCAGAGGCAAAGCAGAGAGGAATTGTTGTATATGTGTCTTACACAGAATATTCTGGGTTCCTTGAAAAGGACAGGGAGGAAAAAATGTCATCTGGAGTCTGATTGGGCTGTTCTATTAATATTTTCTCTTGCTGCCAGCAAGAAGTGGTAGAAGTTTATTAAAATGCTCGCTCACTCTTTTGGGAACATCACTGGCAGTTCAGGCCCTTGGCGACCCCCCTGTTAATTTTATACTTTTAAATTTCAAGAAGCTCATGTGAAAGAGAAGTTTGGTAACTCAGCCTACAAATACAGTATTAAAAATTCCTTCTAATTCTCTCCTGCTATGAAGTACTGTTTTCTGTGGTATCTCCTGATATCCAGAATGATTGTTAGTCTTGAATTCATTCTCTGGCATTAAGTAATATGGAATGTTAAAGAGAGTCCCATTTTTGCAGGTGTGATGTTAATAGCCCTTATGTCCAGCCAGTTGGTTGGTGTCAGGAGAATGGAAGAACTCTGATAGCACCCCAAGGTGAGTGGACTGCCTGGGTTTTCTTTGAAGTCATCTCTGTGTGAGTGGCAATCCTCATTTTTATTTTGTTTATAAAGACCATATTTTAATACAAGGTATATAATAAAAATGCTGTGTGAGATTCTGTTGACTACCAAGTGTCTGAACTCTCTATGTCCTTCCCCAAAGTGAAGATGGACTGTGTTTATAATTAGGCAGCCATTAAAACAAAGTTACTAAAAATTTTTATCTAACTAAATGAGTACTATTATTGAATACTGCTATAAAACTAGCTATTTCTACTTATGTAATTTATCTAATAACTTAATTCATTAATAGAACAATAAGATTATTAAAAATAATTAACTTTGGAGTTAAATGTAGAAATACAGAAATCTAAGCAGTAAGAACTAACTTAACGGTGGGTCTCCAGACTTACCAGCCCTCCTGCACCAAACTAAACATTTAAATAAGGACTCCATCAAGTAATTTATTTTTTTTCTCATGACAAAAACATTATGAAATGTTTAGAGACTTGCTTTGTCAAATTTTTAAATTTTTTTTTCCTTGAGATGGAGTCTCATTCTGTCTCCAGGCTGTAGTGCAGTGGTGTGATCTCCGCTCACTGCAACTTTTGCCTCCCGGGTTCAAGCGTTTCTCCTGCCTCAGCCTCCCAAGTAGCTAAAACTACATATGTGCACCACAATGCCCAGCTGATTTTTGTATTTTTAGTAGAGACAGGGTTTCACCATATTGGCCAGGATGGCCTTAAAATCTTGGCCTTGTGATCCGTCCACTTCAGACTTCCAAAGTGCTGTGATTACTGGCATAAGCCACTACCCCGGGCCTGTTTTTGAATTTAAAAATGAATTAGACATACAGGCTGTATAATCTTAGTATTTTTAACACAAGTGTCCAAGTAGACATATATTTTCTTTCAATAAAAAATGTACAGAAAGAAATGTGGAGTAAGGGATGTGCCATTCTAGAATGGAGCAAATGTTGTTTTGATTCAAAAGGTTCATAGTTTTGCTGTTTTACAATCTTTTTTTGCCATCAGTATAGAAAAATGTTAGAATTTCTCATCAAATTCTTGAATATGAAGATAATTTTAAGAATTAAAAACAATAAAAAAGCCAAACTAAAATTACAAATTATTCAAAAATATGTACTTGGTCTAGAAAGGTTTTATGAACTATGTAACACCTTAAATTCTGATTTTGATATATATATAGACAGATTTAGAGCCATTTGTCCTATTTTTCTGTGAAAGTGACCAAAACCAACTTTAGAATAATGTTCCTTAAGAAGAAGTGAGGCCAGGCACAGTGGCTCATGCCTGTAATCCCAGCACTTTGGGAGGCCAAGGCAGGTGGATCATGAGGTCAGGAGTTCGAGACCAGTCTGGGCAACATGGTGAAACCCTGTCTCTACTAAAAATACAAAAATTAGCCGAGTGTGGTGGTGGGCTCCTATAGTCCCAGCTACCCAGGAGGCTGAGGCAAGAGAATCGTTTGAACCTGGGAGGCGGAGGTTGCAGTGAGCCAAGATCGAGCCACTGGACTCCAGCCTGGCAACAGAGTGAGACTCCATCTGAAAAAAAAAAAGAGATGAGGTGAAATGCTTGTCAGATCTCAGAATATGTGGGTTGAGTTGGTATGCCTGGAATGCACATGGAATGCCTCTTCCGATTTTCACCTAGTAAAATAACTTACTGCTTCCAGCTTGTTCTCACTAGACTTCATGAATAGCCTCAGTGTATAAGTCTCTTGGTGTTGTGTGAGTCTAGAAAAACTCTGTGCAGCACATTCAGAATGAGAGATCCAGAATCGTGCCATCATTAACATGCTAGTAGTGTCTAAAAAAGCATTGCCTAACCTAGGGTTATAAAGATGTGTTACAAAAGGCTATTATTTCCCCATTGTCACCCTTATTGAAAATTCGTTGCTCATAGAGTATGAGTTTATTTCAGGACTCTCAGTTCTTTTTGTTGGTTTGTATGTCTAATTTATACTAGTACCATGCTTTGATTACTGTAGCTTTGTAATAAATTTCCAAATTGGAAAGTATGAATACTCCAGCACTGTTCTTTTTCACGATTGTTTTTTGCTCTTCTTAGTCCCTTGCATTTCCATCTGAATTTTAGAATTAACTCATAAATTTCTGCAAAAAAAGTCAGCTGGGGTTTTGATAGTGGTGCACTGAATCTGTAGATCAATTTGTGGAGTACTGCCATCTTCACAATTTTAAGTTTCTCATCCCATGAACACAGAACTTCTTTCCATTTATCGAGGCTGCCTTTAATTTTCTGTCAGTGGTAATTTGTAGTTTTCAATTTACAAGTCATGTACTTACTTTATTAAATTTGCTACTAAATATTTTACTCCTTTTTTTTAAACTGAGGTGAAATTCACACCGCATTCAGTTAACCATTTTAAAATGTACAATTTGGTGGTATTTGATGTATTCACAATGTTATGCAACCGCCAGCTCTCTCTAGTTTCAAAACTTTTTTATTCCCTGTAAAAAATCCTGTGCTTATTTAGTAAACATTCCTACTTATTAAGTAGGCACTCCGTAGACATTCTCAACACCCCTACTACCCTGACGCCTCTAATCAGCTTTCTTCCCCATGAATTTGCATATTCTTGATATATTACATGAAAGGAATCATACAATACATCTCTTTTTGTGTCTGGCTTCTCTCATCTGGTATTGTGTTTTCAAGGTCATCCAAGTTGTAGCATGTATCAATACTTTGTTCCTTTTTACGGCTGAATAACATTCCATTGTATGCACATACCACAATTTCTTTATCCATTGATCCGTGAATGGACATTTGGTTTATTTGTATCTTTTGGTAATTATTAGAAATGCCATGGTAAGCATTTACGTACAATTTTCTGTGTGGACATATGTCTTTATCTCTTTTTAGCATATACCTAGGAGTAGAATTGCTTGGTCATATGTTTAACATTTTGAGGCAGTGAGAAGTTGTTTTTCAAAGTATGAACACCATTTTATGTCCCACCAGCAATGTATTACAAAGAGGCTCCTGTTTTACTATGTCCTGGTTATTTTCTGTTTTCTTGATTAAAACCATTGTAGTGGTTATAAAGTGGTATCTCATTGTGGTTCTGATTTGCATTTTCTTACTGACCAATCATGCTGAACATCTTTCCGTGTGCTTGTTGGTCATTTGTACATTTTCTGAAAGAAATATCTATTCAGAGCCTTTGCCCATTTTTCAACTGGGTTGTCTTTTAATTATTGTTTAAATATTAAGTCCATTTATCAGTCTTCATTATATTATCTATATGTTAATTGATAAATTATTACTGTATATCTTTATACATTCTGAATATTAAACCCCTATCAGATAGATGATTTGCAAATGTTTTTGCCCATTCTACAGGTTGTATTTCTACATTCTTAGTAAGGTCCATTGCTCTACAATAGGTTTTAATTTTGATGATATCCAATTTGTTTATTTTTCTATTGTTGCTTGTGGTTTTGGTATTAAATCTGATAACTTACTGCAAAGTCGGAGTTATGAAGATTTACCACTATCTATCAGGAGATTCTTCCACCTCAGCCTCCCAAAGTGCTGATATTGCTGGCGTGAGCCACCACACCTGGCCCATAGATCTGTTTTTATTTGATTTTTGTGTATGAAATGAGGAAGAGGTTGAACTTAATTCTTTTGCTTCTGGTTATCCAGTTTTCCAGCACCATTTGTAGACTGGTCTTGGCATCATTGTTGAAAATAAATTTGCCGTGGGTGTTTAGGTTTGTGTCTGGACCCTCAATTCTGTTGCATTGGTCTCTGTGCCTATGCCTGTTCTTATATCAATATGAATTGGTTGATTATTGTAGATTTGCATTTTATAAGTATTTTATAATTGTAGTTTAAGTTTCATTTTATAACTTCAGCTAAAACTTCAACAAAGTTCTCCAACTTTGTTCTTCAAATGTTAAGACTTTGTTATGAGGATTTTCTGAGTATCTAACATCTTTTTGTCATTTTATAACTTCAACCAAAATTCCAGCAGCTTGCTTCTCCTAAAGGAAGAAAAGGTTCTGGCATGTATTTAAGCCTTCTCTAGAAAGACACTGCAGAGAGTAGCTAACACCTGGAATTTGGAATTAGTTTTATATCAGTGAAATGATCTTTACATTTTATCATTTACATGTTTTAAAAACTGACCTCTATCTCTGAAGAAGCTCTTTTATCTGGAAACTATGAGACTTAGAGTGTACACCAGGGGCAGCTCTACAGATCAGCACATGCTGTTCTACTTTCAAGCACTTTAATTGCTCTCAGAAGTGCAATTACACACACACACACACGCTGCAATTACACACTCAAACACACACACGGTATAGCAGATATACCAAACACTTTTTTCTGACAACAGTCGGAAACAAATCATTGGAACGAACAATATTTGATCTATTTATGTTTTACTATATTTAAACACATACTCTGTCTCTCTACATGCGCACACGCGCGCGCGCACACACACACACACACACACATACACACACACACAGTCAAGGAGCCCAGCTCTAGACTTGTCTTAGGAAAGAGAGTATCTGAAGATCATATTAGTTTTCCTTTCTAAATCTCATGGTTAAGCTCCTGCTTGTGAATCACCTGAGTACACAGCATTCTATCATCCTGTCTCAGGGGCCCTTCTGCTTCCTGTGGCTCCAAGTATTTCCCCTCTTATGCAGTTAGTAGGGGCCTAACATCTTTGGTGCACTCATGTTTTCACACAATCCCAGAACACATCATGATCATTACTCATCATAAACTTTAAGCAATTTCATTTATGGCTGAGCTTTAATCGTCTTCACCTCAAATTTTTACTCATAGTTCCTTTGAATATATTTTTGTTACACTCCACTATCTTGTTCATACCTTGATTAAATGGCTGATCTATTACATTTTCATTTTAAATATCATCTAGCAAATGGGGAGTTGCCTGGAGTTCAATGAAGGCCTCTGTGAAGGGTGA